GGGAAAAAAAAAAAAAGTACAACACTTAAAATGTAAATTCAGCTGGGAAGAAACTCTATAGCACCTCGGGAAGGAGAGACAGAGGCTCAGTGATGTTTTGTGTCTGATTCCTGTGTCCACCCAGGTTGTGTACTGGAAGGTGACAGCCTCTGACAGGCAGCTGGAGAGGCAGGATTCTCAGAGGTGCTCATTGTCATTTGGTCACTTATGTTATTTCTGATTTACATATGATGTTTCAAAAAAAAAAAATATATATATATATATTGGCACAGTGCAGGTTTCATTTTTCTGCCTCTGACACCCAGATCTGTGTGGCAGCTAACCTCGCAAAGCTAACAAGTAACCAGAGTTTTCACAAGCCACAAGAGGGCTATAAATCACTTTTGTGTTGGTATATAAATATGTGCTGGTGTGTGCAAATTTGGTACAAGTTCTTAAAATGTATAAATATTAACTTTTCTGTTTCTTTTTCTCTCCATTCCCCTTGTCAGTAAAGATTAGATGTCTTTTATTTACTGTGGGAATAGCTATTAGTTGCTTTAATACTTTTTATTTTTATTTTTTTGTGGGCAGCAGCTAAAATAAGGTCTCCTTGACATGTTCCCAGGTCTTGCTGCTGCTCTCATAGACAAATCTTTTTTTTTTTTTTTTTTCCTCAGAAAAACGTAAGTTTAAAGGCTGCTGCAAAAGCCTAGAGAGGCTTCTCAATGCTGTTTCCTTGTATGAATTTACCTAAGTTGTTATAAAATCCACATCTGTTCAGTCAATGAAATAGGCAAACTGTTTTGTTTTTTTTTTTCTTTTATATTTATTATATGTTTGTAAGTGCATTGCTATGCCTGTTGATGCTGTTTCACCAGTTTACACTACCCTGATTTTTGTATCAGTATGCAAAAACCCCATGGAGTGTTGAATGCAGTGAATTGACTTACTGAAGGTGACACAGGAACACAGTGGCCAAGCCCCAGAGGGCATCACCTGAGTGCCTCTGGTTGAACTGCAAATGGCTCTTGGGAAAAGGCTGCATGGAGCTGTGTGACTGAGTTAGAGGTACTGGTGGGAAGAATGCAGGTGTGGTGTCATGGTGGAGCTACGTTGGGCTGCTCCTCATCTGCCAGGCAAAGTGCTCATCATGCTCTGGCTTGTACCCGTCCCCTCCCTTGCAATACCTTACAACAAGAGATTATAGGCTTAGCTGCACCTCTTCTCCCGTGGCATTAATTAATATAAACAACTGTGAGGATCACTCTGAAGGTTTGGATGTTTACATGCCAAGCCCTACATAATTGGTGATGGTGGTATATGTCAAACCCAGCTTTAAGGCTTCACTCAGCAAGCCCTTCCTGCACAGCTGATGGATGGCAATTAGACCACGCCAAGTCAGAGATTCCTGTGCAAACACTTTCCTGTTGTTGAGGAAAAATAGATTTAAAGAGTAAATAGGGTGAATGATTGAAGCAGCTACTCCTGTAACAAGCTGGGCTCTGTTAAGAATGGGAAATATGAACTACGAGGTTTTTCCATTCATCAGTGTGGTTTAAGTGATATGTCAGCTCAGGGGAGGGTAATACAGTAGTCAGGAGCTGTGCAGGAATTTGGAAAAACTGGTTTCAATTCTTTGTCTGACATCTGATTCCTAGCACGTATAAATGTTTATTACCTCTGGTCACCAGCTGCAAATGGCAGCGAATGCTTCGCAGCGGGGCTGAGCATGAAGCTGTCCAGGCTGCAAAGCGCTGGGAAGCTTTGTGCAGGTTTCATATAGCCCCTAAAACAATCCATGTTAAACATGATAAGGCGGTAACCTAAATTTCCTCAAAAGGCCACTCTTTTTCCCTGAAGTGAAAATATTGGGTTGGTGTTACATTGATTCAGGCTGGTGTGGAAGAAATGTTGGACCTGCAGCGTGGGCTGTGGCCTGCACATAGGTGGTCCTTCCTTTATCTCAGACAGAGGGAATGAAGAAGATTGAAGTAGCTTAAAGTTTCAGGATGAATGATCAAGATTCAACCGTGTTCGGTCAGTTAGTGCAAAGAAGTCCAGTAGTAACAAACACTTATTCCCTTTGTTTACATGGTTTATGTAACTTTAAGGGGACATAATAAAAAAGACTTATTTTCTTAGTAACAATTACATTAAAAAAAAAATGCTATAAAAGAAAAAATCCATGTATTGATAAGCTAAAATAAAGAAAATGTCAGGATACAAAAATACCAGAAATCCACTTATAAAACCACTTACCCTCTATGATGTTAATGTTTTAATCTAATGAAGGCCTCAGCCTTAAATGCTGGACTGCCCCACACCACTGTGAGTGAAACAGCTATATAAATTGAAGTTGTAATACAGGAATATGCACCAGAGGAAAAACAAGCTGACAAGGAGTGAGAGGGGATAGCACACCTGGAGAAAGAGCAGGGCTCTGAGAAGAGCAAATAAAAAATGTGAGAAATGAGAGGAGAGCTAAGGTAAACTTGACTGTTTTTTTTTTGTTTGTTTGTTTTTTTGTTTGTTTGTTTAATTAATTTTTTTTCCAACAAAGCTGACTTGAAGTGAATTGCATCAGCACAGCTGTATAGCACTGGTTCCCACTTGAGGAAGGCTTCAAGCTAACTAGAGATATGGTGAGATAGAATATAATTGATAGAATGTGTGAGATAGGATATAATTCAGTGCTGGGTATCTTTCCAAATGAGGAATGGGGAAAAAAAAAAACAAAAACAAAAACAAACAGGGAGAGAGAAGAAATGTATAAGTCTTCTGTGATACAAGTTGAAGGTAGTTTAACATTCAGCATGACTCAGGCATAAAACTTGCCCTGTCCTAAAGCTGCTGGCATCCTTAGCTTCTCAAAAGAAAAGTAAAAACATATGTAGTAATGTAAGCATTTCAGGTCTGTGTCTCAGCACACAGAAAGAGAATATTAGATTAACTGTTGTTTAACTGAATTTTTTTTCACCATGCCCTATTAATCTTTTCATAATTTATGACTTTTTTTTTTGCTTTTGTGAGTGTCTTTTTGTACTTCAAGTCTGCAGGTGATACTCTCCATCAAGTTCGGTATTACTGACACCTGAGGCATTTCATTAGCATTTAAATTAGGCTTAAGTGCCTAAGTAATTTTGTGATAGGGCTGCATTTGTGTGGCTAGCTGTCTACTGCATTTAATTAAATCCCGGACTTCTTCTTTGTTCAGAGGAAAAAATGCAAGTTCTGTCTGAAATCCAGCAGTAGTAGGAAGAACAGGCAGGCCATAGTTCTGTCTGCTGCTAAGGTTTGTCCTCTACTTACTATCTCTCTTTTTTACTATTCAGCCCTAATGAAGAGCTTTCTCAAGAAGGAGAATGTTTGAAAAGTGACCAGGGATGGTGAACTCTCAAACTGTCTCTGGGGCTCATTTGTCACAAAGCAGGGGATGACAGGCTGACAGCTGGGAGCAGCGTAGGCTTTGGCATGGCCTGGCTGTGCACAGTGGCACTGGGGATGCCTACTGGTCTGTCCCTTTTAGTTCTGGGGGATTCATCCTGAGATGAAATATTCAAATGGCTGAGCAAACAGTTCATCCATAAAGAAAAACTACTGGCTTCTGGAGAAGTGGAAAGGGATGTTTTTCTTGAATGTACCTAGTTGATAGCCCAGTCTTGGTGAGTGGTGGCAGGCTGCAGCTCAGCAAGATGGCATAGGGCCACACTGGCCTTGGGGGTGTCACATGGGCTCTGCTGGGCTGTGGGGTCCTGGGGCTCTTTATCCTCTGATAAATGTGATACTGTGAGAATGACCTAAGGCCCTTGTGACACTATGAAGAATCCTTGGGATGGGGAATTTTTACCTCTGTGAATTAAAACCATGTGAGAGTCTATGTGTGCAATGGAAACTTTTCAGTTTTGCCTGATTAGAGACACTTAATAGGAAAAGAGCAGGGTGAGGAAGACAGATTTCCAGAAGACTGGTTCTGCTAAATTGGCGGGGTCTTGGATGCTTTTATTGCTGAGATATGATGTGAGATTCACTCTGTTCAGTCAGCACAGCCAAGAAAACGGACAGCTCAGGGGGGTGACGTTAAGCAGCTCCATTAAAGCTCACACAAGTGTGACTGGGAAGACAAGGGACAGTTACTCTGCTCCCAAGCAGGGACAGAAGGACTAGGCAGGATGATGATAAAGGACTGTGTTGTATTTAGCAGCGGACTTAGCAAAAGGCTTAAAGCTTTCTTTTGCACTCTTCCTCCATAACAAATTCATGCTTGAAGACCAAATTGAAATGATCACGATTGCAGCGCTGCGTGCATTGTTAATGAGGTGTGTTTCTTTCACAACCACTTTTACTTGAGATCACCTCAAATGAACGTGAAGTAGATAAGGGAACCCCAGGCGTCGCCCAGCTGTGACACAGCTAAACCTCTAAGGCAGTGCCACTGCTCTCCACACTGCTTCTCCCAGCTGCCAGGCCCCAGTGGTGCCACAGGTCAGCAGAGCATAGCAGCACACTACCCAGCACTACTACTGCACAAGCCTCCCTTGCTAACTAAGTTATGTTTATTCACAGTCACCTTATACCCATCTGTTCTTGTGCATTGTTTTGTAGCTTAAACACCTCTTCTGCCTTGCTGCTGTTCACCACTTTGATGTGACTGGGGAGACAAACATCCTCATCAGTCCTCATGGTGTCCTTGGTAAATAAAGTGAAGTTTTGCTCTTCTTGTACAAGTTACCTGTAGGATAGCTGTGGCAGACTACATGGGCTGCGCTGTAAGCTTGGGCTGCCCCTTTGCATCAGTTTGCACAGCAGCTCCTCTCTTCAGGCTGAGGGTAGAGAGGCGATGTGTAGACACTCAATTTCCCCGCCTTCATCACTATGCTTTGGATTTCACAGGTGCACCTTTAGTAAGATAAAGTTTAAAAAAAAAAAAAAAAAAAAGATTTCCCTGTTAAAAAGTAGTGAATTAGGACTAAGAAATAACAGTCAAATATTCAGATCCTCTCGAGAGCGGTGAGTCTGAGCATTTCCAGCCGCCGGACCGCGGGCACCGCGCTCCGCCCCTGCCCCGTCCCCACCGCGCGGTGCCGGGCCGTGCCGGGGGAGGAGCGGCGAGAGACGGAAGTGAAAACAAGAGCGAGGGACGGAGCTGCTGCCTGGCAGACGCGCCGCGGGTGTCTTCGTCGCTCCGCGCCCCGCAGCGCCGGGCTGGGTGAGTGAGCGGGGAAGCCAGGAGGTTGAGGTGAGGCTCGAACTTCGCGTTGCTTCTCGTAACCTGTAATTTGATTTTGTTGTAGTTTAATTCCGTGTCGGGGTGCCGCTAGGCTGCCCGAGGAGCTCACCGCAGGATGCGGGACTCAGGTCGCTGCCTTAGGGCTGGAGCTTCGCTCCGGGGCGGTGCGGCGGGGCTGGCGGCTCGGTGCTGTCACTGCCCCGATGACTGCCTCCTCCTCGGCTTCCCGCTGTTCCGCGTCCCCACGCGTGGTGATTGGCGTTTCTGCCAGGGTTTTGAAATTCCCCCTTCCAGGAACCGACCCAGAGAGCGTTTGGTGAAAACCGATGGAAGTTGCGCAGTTCCTCCGTGGTTGCTCAATGCCCCTTGCACGAAGTAGGGTTGTGAGGCTTAGATGCTGCTCTCATGCTTTGAGAAGTGCAGTGAGTTTCCGAGTGATCGCCTCCTTCCTGCTCCGTCTGGGAGGCTGGGGGTGCAGAGTCACGGGGGTGAGAAAGGAGAGAGGAGCGGTGCTGGGAGCCACGCGAGGCATTTCACCAGGCAGTTTCTCCCCGTTGTAACTGCTTCAAACGGGGTGGGGGGAACCATCCTTTTCGAAAGAAACTTAATCTTTTCCTGAAGCTGTTGTTGCAACTAGTTGTTACACTTTTTTTTTTTTTTTAAACCTGATTATGAGACCTTTAGGTCCTTCTTAGAGGTAAAGCCTTCTGCTGGTGCCCGTGAACCACGCTGTACACGGTGTGCTTTCTTGACGTCCCCAGTGGATGGTGACCTGTTGCCGTGGTGCCTTTCATTTACAGGGAATGAAAAGAATTCTCCCTTTCATGAGGGAGGAAATCTGTGACTAATTAAAATCCCCTTTCAGAAGGAATTAGCAAAGTTGTACTTCTTGCTTCAGTGGTGAGCAAGCCCCCTGAGAGCTCAAACTTGCTTGGAGTTTTTTCTTCTTCTCACCCTCTCCAGCAGCAGGAAGAATGTGGGGGGGGGGGGGGGGGGGTGAGAGCGGTGGCATTTACCATGCCGAGGATTTTGGGGTACGTTGAGCCAGTGTTGGGGCTAAAGCTGCCCCGGGAACTGCCAAGGTAGCTCTGAATCCCGATTTCCACACGTCGGGCGGCCAGCTGGACTTGAGTGCCTTTGCAAACCCTTCTGCCTCAAAACCTAAAATCCCTCTGCAGTGCACGGTGAGGTCAGGCTGGCTTTGGGGCGTGCAGCCCACTCGCTGCAGTGTGCCCGTGGTGCCACCTTAAATGTCAGCACAGGAGCTGGAATCTGGCCGTACCGCGGTGTAGGCTTACACCCCGCTCTGCTGTGTTCTTTGCCTTACTTCAACCATACCAAAATAGTCGGGATCCACTACCTAAGATGTCATTGTAATGTTACTTATCTGAGGTGAAACTGAAGCCCTTATCTTTGGCTCTGGGCAGCAATTAAGTGCGGAGGTTGCCTTTTAAAGGTAATTTGTTGCTCGCATTGATGTAGAGGGGAGGGAGATGCTGGAGTTTTGCTCTGCGTTTTTTTTTGTTTTTTTTTTTCTTTCCCCTCACTGTTACGATGTGGCTGTCGGTATTTTAATTTAATTTGCAGCTTTCATTTGAGGCTTGGTGTTAAGATCTGTTGTGTCTGTAGCATTGTTCTGTCAATGTGAAGTTATGCTGTAAAACTAAAAATCATGGGGTTTTTATTTTCTTCTGGTTAACTTCAAAGTTGTGACATTTTGATGTTGTTCTGAAACTGTCAAACCATAATGTGTTGGGAAACAAGTTCTGAGCTGATGACATGGCAGCATGTGATATTCATTTTGTCAGAGACAAATGTGCCAATGGTGGTAACTTCTTCCATACTTGGATTTAAAGGATGCTATCAATTCATGCTTGTCTCAGCACTGAGGTTTGTTTTTTTTCCCCACAGTATTCTATCAGATGCTTGACAAATACTTTTTACTGTGTGCTTTTCTTGAGATGCAAGTATTTCAACACCAGAAACCTTGGAAGTAGGAAGATAATGTTATCAGTTCCCTGTGTTTCTTCCTAATCAATTTAGCACAGCAAAACATGGGAATGAAAGTATAAGTAATGACAGACTTTGTGTAGATTTTTGGCTGTCCTTATACTATGGAGAAGCAGTGGGCAGTGCTTTTTGTTTTTATCTTCCTTAATTTAAAAGTGTAATCCTATTCTGCAGGCATCAAGTCATTAGTTTGGATCCTTGATTACTGAACACCATGAGCAACTACAGCGTGTCTTTGGTTGGCCCGGCTCCTTGGGGTTTCAGGCTTCAAGGTGGCAAGGATTTCAACATGCCCCTGTCCATCTCTCGGGTGAGTGTGTTCTTCCCTCTGCTTGTGTGTGGGTATCCATCGTGCTGCAGTCAGTCTGTAGCCTTCATCAGACTATAAAGCCTTGAGCTCAAGTTGCCCCCCTTGGTGTGGGAAAATACATCTTTGTTGTCTGGAGGATCCAAGGAAATTGTACATCTTCATCTAAAATCTAATCTATGTTCTTATCTGTGCAACAAAACAGGCAGAAAGCACCCTTGAATTCCCCTCCCTGCTCACCCTCAGAAAGTTGTTATGTGAGGAAGGAGGCTGGCAGGAAATGGGCAATTTTCTGCCTGTGCAGTTCACATGGGAGGCAGTGGGGGAGAATCACTCATGTTCCCATTGTTTATTCAGCAGCTCTTAACAGTTGGAAGATCTTTTGGTGTCTGTTCTTTCAAATCCCACTATTTGCAATAAGCTGCACTTAACAGACGGGAATTATAAACAGTAATTCATGGATATGTGCCTGGGTGAAAATGCTGCTTTCTCAAGAGTGTTTTTTTATGCAGCAAGTGCTCTTAACTGATGTTCACAGGAGTGTTTTATAGAGTATGTGCTCTTAACTGATACTGAAAGGATTTGAGGAACTAAGTCAAAATAAATGTGATCTTTGTACCCAGGCACTATCTACCAATTCCCAGCTTTTGAAATGGCTTTTTTTTTTTCTTTTTAGTAATGAATCTTTTTTTTCTATGTGGGCTGAGTTTCAAAGCCTTCTTCAGACAACTAAAACACTTCATTTACATCACATGGGGAATAAATTTGTACTATTGAATTTATGTGAGTACTGGAAATCTCTGGGTGAAGAGTTATGGCTTTGGACTCCAGCACCTTTAAACTGTTCTTTGCACGGTGGAAGCATTCATGTATAAATGACCTCTCTGCCAGCAGCCTGCCTCCCCCTCCTGCATATTTATGCAGTTTAGTGACAAAGATTAATTATTTTTTACACCTGTTGGACTGCAGAATTCCTGAGAGAGGGAGCAGGTTTCTATTTGGGTTTATGCATCATGGTAATATTTTTAGCTAATCTCAACTAGCGATTCGCAGCCTGCCAGTTCATTTAGACTTGGCTAATCTGTGGATTATTATTATTTTTTTTTTATGGCTGGGGTAAAATGGAGAGCTGTGAAAATACCTGCGAACAGATTATATCTGAACCAAAAGGTGCTGAACTACAGTTTATTCCCAAATTCTGGGAATTTTCAAGCTAAGCTATAACTTGGTTTCTTGTTCAGCATCTGGTTACTCCTGCAGCAATAAGATGTTTGAAGTGAGAACGTTCTTCCAATGTGATGGCCGAAGGACCACTGTAGCAAGGAAAGGTTTTAGAAGCATATGCTGTTGCCACCATGAGGTATTTGCAGGAGGTACTGATGAGCAGCCCAGGGCTGTAGGCAGGAAGACACAATGATCAGCCAATTTTAGCAACAGTAACACTTGCTTTTTGGTAAGGGGCTCTGCCGTCCTGGAGAGCCACAGTGCAACCTGGCTGGTAAGCATATTTCCCATCTGAAAATTTCTATAGAGGAAACAAATGTATTGAAATTAGTCTAGATGAGTATTTTATCACAAAAATTAAATGTGCTGTTTGTATGGAGTAGCAGGAAGGAATCAGCTCAAACAGCTGCATTTAAAAGCCTGAATTATGGGATTCCCTAATGACAAGTGTCAGTGCTCATGTCAGCAGAAAAATGTGTTCTGAGGTGGTTTTAAGGTTCTAAACGTGCATGGAGAGGGAAAGCACAATACCCCATTCACATGTTGGACCTCAGCTCTGCTCTCCGAGTCATTTCTTTTTATTTGGAGTTAAGATCATCCGGATTTTGCACTGCTCTAATGCAACGACAACAACACTTTTCAATCAAAAAAGGTCTTAGGCTGGTATGCCAGTCCAGCTTTGGTCTGGTAGCTGGAAGAATTCGGTGCTGTGTTCCTGGTATGCTGGAACAGCTTGTACCATTCACCCCCACCCCTTCTTTTCCTGACAAAGTATAAATGCCTTCCTGCATCTGAAAACCACTAATTAAATTATTTTAGCACAACAGTAATGCAGTAATGAGGCAGCAGAATTATGTTCTTTGGCAAGGAGGACTTCTTTTTTTCCTTAAATTTGTGCTCTTGATGTTGAGGATGAATCCGGCTGTTTCGCTGAGGGCTAATTTCCTGCTTTAGTTTAGTTTTGGCTCCTTGAATTTAAGTTCAAATAAAGTGCAGTTTATGAAGCATAGAGAATACTTTGTTTTTGAATGCTGTTTATCCAAAAAGCTAATGTCTTATTGCTGATAATGCGAACAACATTTCATAGGCTTCCTGGAGAAAGCTTTCAGTAAGTCATTTGGCTGGCAATGGTATGCTGTTTCAGTGGGAGTGGTAGTTGCCTCTACATGGTAAAGCCAATCTGTTTTTTGTTCTACTGGTTTTTGTTTGGTTTTTTTTTTTTTTTTTGGCTGTTTGTTTTTTTTCCCCAACACTAGTACACTGTAGACTTATTGCCACATCGTAACCAACAGTTTAACAATGTTAAAGCACTAAAATTGTTACATATACAGCTGCACACATCTCACGGTAAATAGTGTACACCATGTTGGGCATATCCTTGTAGGCAGTAGCATAAATCAATGTGTGCAATGCTTGGAGCTGCATGCACTTATATATGACTGGACTTCAACTAGGTGGCTCCTTGCAAAGGAACTCTATCCAGTGCCATTACAGGGGTCAGAAATAGACCCATAGCAGGAGATAGTGTGTTGGTAGTGGTTGTAGTAGGTTTGTGTTAGTGGTGTGGAGCAGAGATGTTGTCCTCACAAGAGAGTCCTCACTGGAGAGGAAGTTGCTCTATGAGTTTAAAATAAATAAATAAAATTGACCTTTGCCCTTGGACCAGGAATGAAGGGCGGGCTGAGGTTGTAGATCTCCATCTTCTACTAACAATAAACCATTCAAGTGGCTCAAGCCACCACATGCTGCTGTACTGTGAGGCTTCCAGGTATTTAATTCTGAAGTGGCACTTGTATAATGAGAGACTGCAAGCTGTGGCCAGTTAACTCATGCTGAAGAAAGTAGAAATTGCAGGAGATAATGTGTGCAAACTAACATTACTGAGATGCTGTCCTCACATGTTCCTTGTGGTGTTATACATTAATTGAAGGAGCAAGGAAAACATTTGCTTAAGACCAATGCTGTAATGCAAAATAAAAAAATGGAAGCCTAGAGCAAGTAATAACTAATTACTTCGGGATGCAGATTTTATTTTTAGCTATTGTAGGAAATGTCTGACTTTCCCTATGAAAGCAAAAGCTTAATACCTGTCCATCTTTCTAATACATGCAGTTATGTGAAATTACATTTGTCATCATGCAACTTGATGCAAATTAATTGATCACTTCTGAATCAGCGCAGTCCACTACACAGGCAGCTGCTTATTTGGCATGTCTATCTCAAGATTCAGTTAGCAGTTGCTAGTAGGCTCTTAGGACATGAGGTAGCATCTCCATTCTTTGGTATTCACCTACATTGTAATAATTGCATTTAAGACCCTCATTATTTCTGAATTATTTCCATGTAAAGTTTATTTCCAAGTTGCTAAATACCAACTGGACCAAAAACAGTTGGTCAAAATATTTGAAATGGTGTTATTTCATTTTCAGCTTGCCAATACTGAATGATTTGCTATGGTTAATATCTATGCACATCTGAGGTCCTGGATAAATCCTAGTGATGTTTTTGTTATGTCCATTTGGATGTATTAATCTCTTTAGACTTTGCATTAATATTATATCTGTATTACTTTGAGGACAATTTAGTTAGTCTTCAGTGCTCAATAAACGTAACTAGAATAAACTTGGTAAACATAGCAGTTTTGGCAATTGTAATCCTACAGTTGCCTTCTGCAGAATGAAATGAGTAGTCCTTGGTACTAAAGGATTATTCATTAATGTTGTAACGAACTGACAGGTTTAGGTATTCATTCTAAATGCATTCTTGAAACATTTGTAACACACCTAAATAGGGACACAAGTCTCGTAGCAAAGTCTGCAAGCAATTCTTATCTCAGTTTTATGACAGTAATTGCTGCCAGAAATTGAGCAATTGGAAATGCTGAAGCGATACTGTAGTAGTCTACGTGAGTTGCTCCGAAGGCAATGCCTCCTACTTTATTACGCTGACCCGCAGCGTCAGAGGTGGATGCTGGTGGTATGGCAGTAGGGGCTGAACCTTTCCACCGATATTCCCTTAATGTTTTGTTGCCATGTGAAAAATGGCAGCTGAGAGGCAGTCTGATAAAATGACCTCTGACATGGAACTACACTTGAAGCAAAGGTGTGGAGCTGAGTTCCTACATGTAGGGAAAAAAATGGAACCCATTGACGTTTTTTTCACTACCAGAAATCCCTTCAGAAATAGCCCTGTATTTTTGCATTTATTCACATTTCAAGTGCGTTTTTCCTTGTGTTTCTGTGGCAAGGTTATAGCTGGTGAAAGGCTCATGATAATGAATTTGTCAGCATGAAGCACCCCCAGGGAACAGTTAGACAAGCAGCCCACCTTGGGATGATATGGAGAATGAACATGCATGCAGCATATCAGTAGCTCAATCTACGTCCCACATGAGCATGCTGAAATTCTTCATGCTGGTGTCAGATGATCATCACCAGGGCAATTGCCCTCCTCTGCATTACCATTTTTTCCATCCTTCCTACCCAGGTATCCATATGGCTATCTACCAAGTTATCCATGGGGATGGAGCATGTGTACAGTGTTTTCATAATATTTGTTTATGCAGACGCTTGGCCTTTGGTCTTCCTAATGTTAGAAAGAAAACTATTTGATTGTTGTTAACATCTGTGAAAATAATTTTAATGATAACTAAATAAAACAGTGTCTTGAATGGACCCCAGGTATGCCAGCTTAGATTGACTAGAATTTGGCTGAGCCCTTTGTTTGGCATGATTTTTTTTTTTTTTTAAGCTGCATGTATTGTTTTCAGTAAAATAAAG